TTTTGCTAAAAGGTACCACAGACGATGAAGTAATAACAATACCTAACATATATGCAGCAAATGACATAGCATCCAAATTCTTAAAGGAAAAGTTAATTGAGTTACAGAAGGAAATAGAGAAAAAAATTATACTACTGGGAGATCTCAACTAGTCCCCTCTCAGAACTAGATAAATCTAACTTTAAAATAAACAAGAAGGAAATAAAGGAGAACAGAATTTTAGAAAAGTTAGATATGATGGACCTCTAGAAAAAACTGAATGGTAATAAAAAGGTGTATATGTTTTTCTCAATTGTACATGACAACTTCACAAAAGTTGATCACAAATTAGGGCATGAAAGCCTCACCAAATGCAGAAGACCAGAAATATTAAACACATCCTTTTCAGACCACAATACAATAAAAATTACATTCATTAAAGGGCTGTGGAAATATAGAATAAAAACTAACTGGAAACTAAATAGTCTAATTCTAAAGAACAAGTGGGTCAAAGAACAAATCGCAGAAAGAATCAATAATTCCATTCAAGAGAATAACAATGAGACAGCATACCAAAATTTATGGGATATAGCCAAAGCAGTACTTAATGGAAATTTATCTTTGAATGTTTACATCAATAAAATAGAGAAAGTGCAAATTAATGAATTGGGTATGCAATTAAAAAAAACAGAAAAGAAATAAATTAAAAATAAACACAAAATTGAAAATCCTGAAAAAGTCAAAGGAGAGATAATGAAATTGAAAGTGAGAAAACCATTGAGCTAATAAATAAATCTAGGAGTTGGTTTTATGAAGAAAAAAAACAAAACAAAACGATAAACCATTAGTTAATTTGATTTTTAAAAAGGAAGAAGAAAACCAAATGACTAATATTAAAAAAGAAAAGGGTGAATTCACCACAAATGAAGATGAAATTAAAGTAATCATTAGGAGATATTTTGATCAATTATATGCCAATAAATCTGACAGTCTAAGTGAAATGGATGAATATTTACAAAAAAAGATAAATTGCCCAGATTAACAAAAGACAAAATAGAATACTTAAATAACCCCATCTTGGAAAAAGAAGTTGACAAGCCATAAATGAGCTCCTTCAAAAAAAATCTCCAGGACCAAATTAATTCACAAATGAACTCTACCAAACATTTAAAAAACAATTAATTCAAAAACACTATTTGGAAAAAAATAAGCAAAGAAGGAGTCCTGCAAAAAATTTTTTATGACACAAATATGATGCTGATACTTAAACCAGGAAGAACAAAAACACAGAAAGAAAACTATAGAACAATTTCCCTAATGAATATAGATGCAAAAATTTTAAATAAAATTTTAGCAAGGAGAATGCAGCAATATATCGCAAAGATCATACAATGATCAGGTGGGATCTGTACCAGGAACGCAAGGCTGGTTCAATACTAGGAAAACTATCACACAATTGGCCATATCAATAACAAAACAACAAAAAACCATATTATTATTCCAATAGATGCACAAAAAAGCTTTTGACAAAATACAAAACTTATTCCTATGAAAAACAATAGAAGAAATAGGAAAAAATGGAGCTTCCCTTAAAATGATAAGTAGTTTCTATCTAAAGCCATCAGCAAACCTTATCTGTCATGTGAATAAGTTAGAGGCCTTCCTAATATGATCACGGGTAAAGCAAGGATGTTCATTATCACCACTATTATTCAACAGTGTACTAGAAATGCTAGCTATAGCAATATGAAAAGAAAGGAAATGAAAAGAATTAGAACAGGCAATGAGGAAAGAAAACCATCATTCTTTGCAGACAATATGATGCTATACCTAAAGAATTCTAGAGAATCAACTAAAAAACTAGTTGAAATCATTAACAACTTCAGTAAAGTTGCAGGATGTAAAAGAAACCCATATAAACCATCAGCATTTGTATATATTACCAACAAGGTCCAACAGGAAGAGATAGAAAGAGTAATTACATTTAAATTAACTGCAACGATATAAAGTACTTGGGAATCTACCTACCAGGACGAAGCCAGGAGCAATATGAACATACTTTTCACACAAATAAAGTCAGATATAAGTAATTGTAGAAATATTAATGGTTCATGGGTAGGTTGAGCCAATATAATAAAAATAACAATTCTACCTAAATTAGTTTTCTCTTTTAGTGCCACATCAATCAAACTACCAAAAAAATTTTCATAGAGCTTGAAAAAATATTAACAAAATTCACCTGGGAGAACAAAAGATCAAGCATATCAAGAGAATCAATTTTAAAAAAAAAAGCATGTGAAGGAAATACCTAGCAACACCAGATGTCAAACTGTATTACAAAGCAGTAATTATCCAAACAATCTGGTACTGGCTAATAGCAATCTGGTACTGACTAAGAAATAGAGTGCTGTATGAGTGAAACAGATGAGGCGCACAATGTGCAGTCATAAATGACCATGGTAATCTCGTGTTTGATAAACCCAAAGATCAATGCTTTGGAGAATTAGAGATGTGTTAGAATGGTCACTGCCACAGTAAGACGGTCAGTCCATTTCAGGAGTTTGAGGGGAAAGTAATCAAAGTAATCAAAGATATTTTAAAAGTCTATTCCATCTTTAAACTTTCTCAGTGACTTGGTGGTGATATGGAAGATTATATTTCGGGTTCTATGGTGAGGCTTTGCCTAATCCAACACATATTTATCATTGGAGGTGTCCCTTGGTCTGAGGATATTGGGCTTATTTGTCTACATGGGAGTAGAATGTGATTAATAAGGGTAGCAATAATGGTATCTGCTGTAGCTATCTTATATAGGGTCATGAATCTGTACCTGGAGTAGGTATCCACAATTATTGGGCACATCACTTCCCACACCTCTTGTTAGGGGACCATTGTAGTCTACCTGCCAATCTCACATGGCCTGAGATCCCTTGCGTATTTGGCAATACTGCTTTTTAAGGCATGATTCTACTGCTTGGCATTGAGGACAGGCAGCAATGGCTGATGGCTTTGTCTTGAGTCAGGGTGTTCATGGGGTCACCCATGTAGAGAATGATATCCTATCTTCTGTGACCTGAGTGAATATGGAGCCACTTTGAAACTGTTAACAACATGGCAAAACCATTTGCTCTCATGTTTTCCTTTGCCAATGGTGTCTCTTCTGAGCAGTAGAGGCTAACATAGTCCACTCTGACAGGAATTCTCTTGGCTGACACTTCTAAGTTCTGCCAGTGATCCTTGCCAAATACTGGTGACCTCTTGATAGTTCAGCCACAGATCTTTAATGTCTCCAAACCACTCAGAGTTCCTTAACCACATCTCATGAGTTTGTGCATATTATTATCTGCTTATCCTGACGTTGGAGGGCATATTGACAGACCAGCCAAATCTCATGGAATTCTACCCTCTTTGATGACTAGTTAGGTTCCTGTTCTATTCTAGTTTCTCTGGTAAAGGTCTGTAAAGCTGCTGCTTTACAATGCCATGTATTTTTCATACCTTGCTGATTTGTTGGTGAACCAGGCCCATTGTTGGTTTTACAGGGATTTAGCTTTTCAAATGGCGGAAGAGGGGTGGTCTGGTGAATGTTTAACAACAAGCTCTCTGAAAAAAAACCATACACACAATACACTGTTAAGTTTAACTTTCATTATTAACATTTTTTCAGGTCTACATAATTACAAATCAAGCCCTGATTTGTAGTGTGTCAGCTTCTAAGGTATAAATGCTCACCTTGAAAATTTATCAGTTGGTCAATGTAAGCTGGAAGGGCCAGGGGTCTTACAGCTTCCACAAGGACCCAACTCTTGGGGACATTCACCATCTTCTCCTATAGTATACTTATCCCAATGGGACCTAGCCCAGACCTCTCTTAAATGTACCACTTCCGCTTTACTGTGGAGGACTTTTGGACATGTCCCGCCTTTTTGGAGTTGTCTTGTATGATCTATCCCAAGAGAGATTTCAGGTTAGAGAATTACTAAACTACCTTTCCTCAAAGACCTTTCCATTTTCTCCCTGAGTCAACTTTCCTATGGTAACTAGGACCCAGTAACATGCCCAGATTTTTCTCACAAAGGTTGTGTATCATGTCCCTCTTTCAGGAAATTTCTGGCTCCAAAATTCCAGAGGCTACTTATTATTTCCCGTGTTTGCAATGGGCTCCTTTCTTCTTGGAATCATCTTGTGGAACTTCACTCACTAGGATCACTGGCTAGGCCCCCGATCTATTATGATCCACTGGGCATTTGTAAAGCTGCTGCTTTCCAACGTCAGATACTTTTTGTATATCTTGCTGATCAATCAATGGAACAGGCCATTGGTTGATCTTGGGCAGGTGAGGGTGAAGAGAAATACTTCAAGTGGTGGAACAGGAGTATACTGGTAAATGACTCCATTACTTCCAGAATCATGGGCTCGTGTGGGTTACAGAAGAGAGCATCAGGCTATATGTCTTAAATATTCTTCTAGCCATGCAAAATTCTAATTAGCAAAGGGTTTCTACTCCTCTTATCATTTTATAACTTTATTTTCTACATTGTTAAATTTCTACTACTCTGTAGTCCTGGTGATTTATTGCTAACTCTGTAGTCAGGGCTTAGGATGCTTTCCAACTTTGCAGTCTGGCTTAGTAGGAGAGCAAAGCCAGTTCCTACAATAATGGTAATCTATTGAAAGCTTAGTTAATAGATTACCTCAGGGTGAGAGGTAAGTGACTTCACCATTGAGGTCACATAAAAAAGTGTCAGGGGCAGGATTTAAAGCCAGGTCTTCCTGATTCCAAGTGCAACATTTTGCCACACCATACATTGCTTAGCTATGTGAAAGATTAAAGGTCACTCAGAGGAATTATAGTATTTGTTTTTTAACTCAAAATAACTTTTAACTATTTTGGCAAAATTACAGAATAAATGTAAGAAAAATTTGGCATACTTTGATGCATCTCAAGGCAAGATGCCAAATGGAGCTTAATTCTTCTGAAATTCAGTAATTCATCTTAACATTAATGATCTTCATTTCAGAATCATTTCAAGTGGTGGTGAGAGGAAATGGATTTCGTCATGCCCGCAATGTGGACAGAGTACTCTGCAGCTTCAAGATCAATGACTCCGTCACACTTAGTAAGTCACACGGCCACTTCTCAGTTTCCATTAGAATTTTGTGTGAAAAGAATACATTATTTTCTCCCCATACCTAAACACTGACAGATAAGAACCTGTCATTAAAGGCCTCCAGAAGAAATTCTCAGGAGTTCGGGAGTCAACAGTTCATTTCATGTAACATCATACTATTTCTCTGCTTATGGTTTAATTTGAGCCAGAGACCTACCAATATCAAGATGTGTTTAATCTAGTGGGCTGGATCTTATAGAAGTTTAAGTTTCTTCATTTCATTGCATAATTTCATTCAATAAACATTTATTGAAAGCCTTACTGTATACACAAGCTCTGTATGCTTAGCACTGAGATACAAATATGACAGAGCCAACAGTCCCTCCCCTCATGGACCTTACAGTCTAATAGAAGAAACATGGCATACAAATATACAAGTATGATATAAAGCCAGGCCAAATGCTCTAAGAATAATGAGAAGGAGTATCCACTTTCAGCCAAAGGGATCATGGAAGGTAAAAATATTGAGACTCTTGAAAGGTGATACTGAAAAATGAGTTAGTTAGTTAGCTGTTTCTGAATATACTTGAAAGCCTAGCTGTTAAGCTGATGTATGCAGGCTTCTGAAAATACGCCTATTTCTCTATTTCAGCTCTCAGATGAAATGTGTTTCTCCTAGCCAAAAAATTCTCAGTGTGGCATACGCTTTATATATACTAGAATTTTTTAAATTTCATGTTCCATCAGTTAAAAAAATTGAGCACATGCCCCTGATATATTTGTTTATTTATAAATTATATACTAATAAAATGGCATTAATAATTTTGTATATTATAAAACTTATACCAAATAGACATTTTAAAAGGGTCAGATAAAGATAAAGTAATATTTGATTTTAGAGTCAGTACAGGACCATCAGAGTTTATTGTGTAGAGGAATGGTATGGTCAGAAAAAATTTGGAGAAATCACTTTGGCAGCGGTGTGGGGGATGGATCAGAGAGATTAATGACTTGAGGCCAGGAAACCAATTAGGATTTTATCACAATAGTCCAACCAAGAAGTGATGAGCATCTGAATTAAGATAGTAGCTGTATGATAAGAGAGAAAAGCATAAATGTGAGAGAGATGGAGAAAAACATGACAAGAATTGGCATCTTATTGAATATGTAGGGTGAAGAAATTGAGGTGTCATAGACAACACCAAAATTGTAAACCTAGATGACTGGAAGGATGATGGTGCCTTCCATAGAAATAGAGCCGTTCAGAAGAGGGGTGGATTTTCAGGAAGGGATAGTAAATTCTGCTTAAGACAGATTGCAATTGAGATACCTACAGGGCATTAAATTAGAAAGGTTCAATGGGCCCTTTGTGATATAGGACTAGAGTTTAGAAGAGAGTTTAGGGATGGATATATAGACCTAGTAATCATCTGAATAAAATAACTAAACCCATAGAAACCAATGAAGTTACCAGGTGAGAGCATAGAGAGAGAGAAGGTCTAGATGGAGCATTGGGGTAAACTCAGAGCTAGAGGATATGATATAGATGATGGTCCCACAAAGGAGACTGAGAAGGAACTTCTCAAGAGAACCAAGCAAGGCACCTCAGAAAAGGTGGAATAAGAATCCAGGAGGGGAGGGTGGTTAATATTGTGTCAAATGCTGCAGTGGGATTAAGAGGAAGGAGGATTGAGAAAAAGTCATTGCATTTGGCAATTAAGAGATCTTCAATGACAGATGAGACCATTTTCAACTGAACGAAGAGTCAAGGATGATGAAGACATTCAGAATCTGGGAAACTCGAAGGTTGTTGGTGCCCTCAATGGAAATAGAGAAGTTCAGAAGATAGGTTGGTTTGGAGAACATGTGAATATGATTGTGAACCAACCAGGCCTACTCATCATATGCTACTGATTCTTTCCCACTGAAAAATAGAAAGTCTGAAGGGAGGACTTACTGATCAGCCACAGAGCCCATCATTGAGAGGTACCTACAGCAGCCACTAGGTGATTAGGGATCAGTACATCAGGTTTTTTTTTTGGGGGGGGGATTGTTAATAAAATAATGGAGTGATCTCTAAGGTTCTTTCTAGCTCTAAAAACTTTTTATGCATCTTATGTTACATAGGTAATTAATAATGTAGCTGGCAGTAGAACCTACTATGCCAGTCTATGACTTTTTTTGTTATCTCTTGGAACCCAAAACAATGAAAATATTTTTTAGTAGTTTGTGAGTATTTGTCTTTGAGTATGTTAATGTAATTAATTCAATTTATCAAATGGTGAAGGGCAAGCAAATGATGACTTCAGTTTGTAGTTGGCATTCTAAGTGCATTTATCAACTTCAGATTTGAATGCTTCCAAATTCTTGAGTAGAAATCACAACTCTTTTAAACATGGGGCAGGGTCTGGCTCATTGTAGAAGGGTTAGGAGTTAGTTAACATCTACTAGGGATTTTTTTGGAAGCAAAAGATCCATCCAGGTTCTCTTCCTTTCTGTGGAATGCTTCACCCAAGGAACTGGATATACTCCATCAGACTTAAATAATAGAAGGAGGCATTGTGGAGTGAGCACCATCTCCTCTATCCCATCCACCATCCAAAACTTCTCCCCCTAAACTAGGAGTGATCAATATTCTCCCTTGCATCTTCTTTGCAAAAATTACAGAGTGCATTTTGTAAAAATGCTCATCATCAGGTATCATTACTATGATAATGATTGAAACGTGTTCTCAGAAAATATGTTAAGCAGGTTAGAAACTCATTGAAATATTTTTGAAACAAGCTATCCCTTTTCCCACTACAAGAGCCTTTCTCCTCTACCAAATTGCTTCTTCCTTGGGAAGGGGAAAGGGAAGGACATAAGCATTTGCATAGTGCCCGTCATGTGCCAGCCCTTGTACTAAACTCTTTCAACAAATATGATCTCATTTGGTCCTCACAACATCCCTGGGAGGTAGGTGCTATTATCCTCCTTTTACAATTCAGGAAATTGAGGGAATCACAAGTTAAGAGACTTGCCCGGGGATACACAGCTAGTGTCTGAGGCTAAATCTGAACTTAGATCTTCCTGACTCCAGACCTGCACTCTATCCATTGTACCACCAGCTGCCTTAAATGTTCCTGTCTAGCTGTAACTACCTACATTTGATTTCTTCACTAACTTCTTCAGATGTCCAACATTTTTCTATTTTGTTAGACAGACTCCTTCTTAAAGGGATGTTCCCTTTTTCTTTCTGAACATTTTAAAATAGAACAATTTTTGAGCAGATATGTAATGGTTTCTTTACATGCACTCTGAATTAAACTGTCTTGCTGCCTTCGCCTGTACATATTACCAAACATAAGTCTGATCTCTGAAATATTCAGTCTGTTTTCTGGATCTCTGAAAATGCTTGAAAATGTACAGATGTATAGTATGGAAATATCATTATGGAGATAGCCTCATGGTTGGACATGGGTTCCCCTACAGAGACATTTATTAAGTAGCTACAATGTACAGCATGTTGCACTGGCTAAGGACTAGAGTATTTCCTCTCTTTTTTAAAATCCCTGTTGTAGAAAAGTGTTTTAAATTCCAGATTCATCTTCTCAAGGGATACGTGTTTATTCTGGCAAATCAGAATTGAAACAGAAAAGCTGGATTTGAATCCTGTTCCTGCTAATTAATAGCTATGTGACCTTGAGCAAATCACTCCCTCTCTCTGAGCCTCAGTTTCTCCATCTGTAAAATAAGGATAGTCATACCTAGATTGTTTCCTGGAATTTTTATGATCATCAAAATTAATATGTAGAGTGCTTCATAAACCATAAGGTGCTATATGCATGTCAATACTTTTTTTCTTTTTTATTCTTATTCCCCTCTCTCCCACTTGGAAAACAATGTGTTTTAGTGGAAAGAAGGCAACAGGCAGGAAGTCTGAGTTGGAATCCCAGCCCTACCCCTTACCACCTATGTGACCCTAAGTCAAGTCACTTACCCACTTTGAACCTCCATTTCTCCATCTATGTAGTGGGGATATTTCTTCACAGGATGGCTGTGAGAATGGTTATAAAACCTGAGATGTTACAGAATATAACAATGCATTTTATTATTTTTCATTAGTATTATTTTCCAGATTACAAGTTCAGATCTGATACCTTGCTTATCTCCTTTGTGTGCATGTATTCTTCTATATGAAATCCAATAGGCATGGGCAGCTACGTGGTACAATGGATAGAGCACCAGCCCTGGAGTCAGGAGGACCTGAGTTCAAATCTGACTTCAGACACTTGACACTTACTAGCTGTGTGACCCTGGGTAAATCACTTAACTCCATTGCCTAGCTAAAAACAAAACAAAACAAAAAAAGAATCCAATAGTCTCTTTCCCTATGAGGGAGTAAGAAGGGAACAAAAGGGATTTGACCCCTAATTTTCCGGTCATATGCTAGTAATTCATAGCAGGTATATATAAAAAATATAAGCCTAATGAATCAGAATATATTAAGCATAATATAATTTTAAATATAGGTTATATCAATTTATGCCTAACTATAAGGACATTCTCAAGATCTTTTATATTGTGTTGCATAATGTATTACTTGGAATAAATGAACCAACCACTTCCTGCAATTAAAAATATTTTTGTCATATAGAAATTGTCATTGTAACAGATTGCATTATTCATAATTGTCCTCAATTATTAGTTTAAGATGATATGGAATATAAAAGCCTTATGAGTGTGTGAAATGATGTTTTGATGGCCTATAATACAATTTCTTCAGGAGAATATTCCATGGAAATAATTCCCATTCTTTTTGTCTCTCCTGAACTTCCATAATTATTGGAAAAATTCAGTTTTAATTTACAACCCAGTTGCACTTCCTCAACAATACTGAAACCTGGGGCAACAGGGCAATTTTATTTCAATACAGCTGTTTCCTCATAAAACACGTCATACAGTTTGACTTACAACTCTGAACTCAAGGGTGTGTTTATTAAAAAAAAAGTTTTGGCTGTCAACACTAG